ATAAGACAGGAGAAAGGTCATGAACCCAGGTTTAGCTGTCCTTGCAGATAGGATTAGAGAAGAGTATTTTGGTTGTTACTTGATCAGGAAGGGTGATTGAAGTTCAAAGAAAACTACAAGAGGAATGGCAGCGAGATCTCCAGAAGCTCACTGGAATGATTCTCCCAGAGGGAGCCCTCGATCCAGAAAACCAAGGGGAGGCATACCATTAAAGCTGCAAATAATCATCCTCCTAAGGCTTAAGTCAACTGTCAATGAGTGGTTTTATAAAAGTTGGATATGTATCAGAGGAGAAGACTAGAGTACCATGTTTAAGGCATTAGTAGGTGCATTTGAAGATCCTATAGTGATTGCAGGTAGTAAAATCTTTCCTGAGATAAAATGCTTGAGAACTGTATGGCTAAGGGAAGGCACAGGGAAGACAGGGTCTAATACCTGTTAATATACATTATATACTAATTTTAGAATTTCACATAAGAGCTCATTTAATATTTACAGTAATTTCAGAAGGGAGAGACTATTAATATTACCATTGTACAGAGAAGAAAATTAAGGCATGGCAATGTAAGTGATTTTCTCAAAGATATATAACTAGTAAATGAAGTAGCTAGAATTCAAATTCATGTGGCCCAGCTCCAGCATCTAGGCTCTTGAGAACTATAATTTACTGTCAGTCTTATGTTGAAGGTTAGTGCTGGATTAGGTCATCTGATGAGAGGATGCTTTCTAGGTGTGATTACCCAACACAGGATGGGGTGGGGAGAGTAGACACATTTGTTTGAAAAGTGGGGTTTTTTGGCAGACTCACAGTTCATTAAATTCACATTTCTTCTAGGACAGACAGACTGGTGACAGTTGAGCAAGGGTAAATCTAGAGGAATATGTTAGAAAAATAAATGTCTGAAAAGAAAAGTGGAAGTTCCAGACAACAGGATGAGGTTTTTGGGTGGTACTACAAAGAAAGTGCTTTTAATTGTAAGAACACAACTGGGTCTCCCTGAAACAAATCAGAAGAAAAAGGGAACAACAGAGACACATTGTAGTACTCCAGAAAAAGTGACAGTAGAAGAAAACATTTTTGCTGACATTAAAGTTTCTCAGATATTCACAACCTGAAGAGACAAGGGGCTGGGGAAGAACAGGCTCTGGGAAATAGTGTGTGGCAAAATGTTGGGTCTGACCAGGCCTTGAGGGACACAGATTCTCAAACTCCAGCAACAGTTTTGTTCAGCAATCCGCTAGGGTGAAGCAAAATAAATGTTTCAGGCAAAACAAAGCAAATTTTGTTTTGAAATGAAACCTAAGAAGCAGAATTCAGGGGCCTTATTCATGAACAGTAGCAGCAAGAAATGCTAGCTCAGAAAAATAGGCCATACGATTAGACAGAAGCCACGGTGGGTTCATTGCTGGGCTGCCAACAGCAAAGAGTTCAAAGGGTAGCACAATGAGATTTTAAATAGATGAGAAAGAAAGGCAGCCCAAAGAAGGCTTGGGAAATTTCTAAATTTTGCAACAAAGCAGTGATATCTCAAATGCTACTCTCTGACAGAGGAAGCTGTACATAGGTGCATTCCTCTCCTCCCTACATGATCAATATCTGTATCTAACTCTCAATGAGAGAGTTCTCCCAAATGACTGCATGTTCATGAACCATAATTTCATGTGATTGTACTAGACTTATGGGCAATGAGACCACTGAATACTACTGAGTTTATTCTGATACCTGTCACAAGGATCTAGATTTTTACTAAGTACTGCTCTCTAGGAAAAATGTTTTATTTAGATAACTGCCTCAAAGACCTAGAAATTAGCTTGAGTTTCAGATGAGATCGAGTGCGTTCAGGGTGGTGTGGCCATAGACAAATTTGCTTGAGTTTCAAACTTTCATGGGTGTAGAACTAGTGCCAGGGTAATTTTTATACCCTTAGCTTTGGTCAGTGAGGCGCATTTTCATAGAGTAGGAAAGGAAGTAGAAAAGAAGTAATTGGAGGTAAGCAGCTCAAAACAACAGTGGTGGCTTCCCATGGCTTCTGTGATTTTTTTTGAGAATTACCCACCTGGCTGAGGCTGGGATCATTTTTTGTGACTTCCTGGTGAGTGCTACACTTTGAGATTTCCTGAAAGAGGTATTCGGATCTTAATCCATCAGTTCTTCAAATGATTATATAAACTTCTAATTCCATATAATAAATATCTCTTTAATCAAGCTAACCTGGAGTAGCTTCTGTTTTCTGATCAAACCCTTATTGATATTGCTAGTTTCAAAATAACTCAAATTCTGATCCTAGGGAAAATGTATAAATGTATTCCCATAGAATATAGCCAAGATTGCAAGTAGCTACAAAAAAAAAAAAAAAAAAAAAAAATCTACTCAGGTATCACAGTGACCTGCCGGTGACTAAGAATGAACAGAATAAGAAAATTTGATGATGGGGTAGCTTTTGGAATTTAACAAATTTCTTTTGAACTTAAGAAGTCTGGATTTATCTTTTTTTCCCTTGTTGAGAATTTTTGATCTTTGATTTATTTAGAAAGCTCCAAACTTTAATGTTTCATCATTTCTTCCTAAGAATTGATAAAAGTATCATGATTAAGTTTGAGATATTTTTATGTAGAGATTGAGTATCCCTTATTTAAAATGCTTGGGACCAGAAGTGTTTTGAATTTCCAATGTTTTCAGAGTCTAGAATATTTGAATATACACAATGAATTACCTTGGGGATGGGACCGAAGTTTAAACACAAAATTTATTGATTTTTTATCTATTATATGCACATAGCCTGGAGGCAGTTTCATACAATACCTTTTTAATAATTGTGTTCAAGAAACAATGTTTGTGAACACTGAACTATCAGAGAGCAAAGGCGCCACTATCTCAGCCACCCCTGTGGACAATCTGTGGTTGTTTGTCATCACCATGATTCCTGATTCTGAATTTATATGTTACAGATAAGCAATCACTTTTTTATACATATTCAGACATAAGCACTTAACAGAAAAAAAAAAAAAAAAAAAAAAAACCACGTACCATTAGTGCGGTGAAGAAATAATGTGCTTAGGTTAGCCAAGAAGTACAGTGGCATCACCAGAACACCCAGATCAGCTGTTAAACAATAGCAACAACAAACAGCAGCAGGCTTTCATTCTCTACCTACGATGCTGTGTTTTACTTGAAGGTTACTGTACACCAGATTTTATTTTTTTAAGTGAGAAGAAGCATCAGAAGCAGGTGATGGACAAGGAAGTGGGCCCTCTAGCGATGAGGAGGCATTCTGCTGAAAAATGTTTCCTCCAGAGCCATCTGCCTCATTAACAATGGTTTTTATCTTAGAAGTTTCTCTTTGATTTTATGAACTGATATAATATGTTATTTTGTTATAATGCATGCTGCTCTGGTCTTTCAATGATCCCATCACACATTTTTACCATGTCATCTATAGGCACTTTTTCTGCAGTGTTAACAATGCTATCTTCATTGTCACTATTATCACAAACACCTTGATTCAAAGCAATTTCAGGTATTTCATCATTGGTCAATGAATGAACAATTGAAGCCTCATTATTGATGTTAAAAACTTCTTTGATCATCACTTCTTTCAGCTTACTGATGGACTCTGAAGGTATATTTTTTGCATATATAAAAAGATCAGACATCATTTTTTTCTCACTTGACATGCAGAATCCTTCAAAGCCACCACCTTGTTCATCATTATCACTGAACCTAGTCTCAGGCCAGAGACTGTGCCAGGCATGTATAACTGTGTCTTTAGTCATGGTGTTCCAGGCATTGACTGTAGCATATATGGCATGCCTCATGCTAAACTCTTGAAAACCTTCCACACTCATGTCTCTGTGTGAACAGACTGCTAGCCTGCTGTTCAAGAAAGTGTTTTTATATTTATTCTTCGTTGATCTAAGGATACCCTGGTTATGTGGCTAAATTAATAAAATCACATTTGGGGGAAATTACACTCATGGATCCACTCATTCAATACATGATCGAGATCTTCATTTTTAGCTTTATGCAGTGTTTTCTATTTTTCATTAACTTCTTGAACTCTTGGCCTCCCAAAGTGCTAGGATTACAGATGTGAGTCATCATGCTCAGACTATTTTTCGTTAACTTCTGTTTATCACTTTTAGCATAGAGCTTCAACAGTTTATCCTTCTGTTTCTTTAGGCTATATATGGTGGTTATTCCAACACCATACTCTTTTGTAAGATGTTTTATATGTACATCACTATCCAGTTTCTTCAAAAGCTTGACTTCCTGTGCTATAGAAACATAAATACTCTCTCTTTTTCTTAATACTGTTAGCTATAGGCATATATTCAGACCTTTTGACATTTTAAACATTATCTTTATACCACAGAACAGAGAATAAGCGTGAAAACACCATGACTAATGCACACAGGCCTTGGCCCAAAATGGGGCATGGTGGAAAACCTGCTGTTAGCACATCTAGCCTACATAGGTGCCATTTTATTACACTTTTTGGGTGTGCTTACATGGGGGAGTCTGGGTGTGCATGGAAAAGATGTATCTTCTGGGTATTAAAGTTTAATTGCCCGCAGAGGTCCCCCAGGAAAGTACACAAAGAAAGAGTAGTGCCAATGTGGTAGGGTAGGTAACTTACCCACAATAAGTTATCGGATTTACTTCCCCTAGTGGATGTCCTTCACCTCAGCTGACTATCCAACTCAAACCAGAGAAGGTAAGTTGTGGAAGGCGGTGATTTCTCAAATGCCACACTCTGAAAGAAGAGACCATGCATAGGTGAATTCATAGGCCTCACGCTTCCATGGCTTTGTGTTTCCCTGAAGGGATTTTCACTAGAATAACACTCTGGACCTCTATTCCACATCTGCTTTCACTCATCCAGATCACTCGTCTAGACTTTTCTCACTTATTCTGCCCCCTTTATAGAGGAAATATGAAGTACCTTACTGGTGAGTGTGGGTAAAGAAATGCTTCTGAGCTCTTTCTTTTTTCTCCGCAGGTCTAAAGAATCCTTCATGTGATAAGCTTGTTGGAGCAGTGCGGACCCCAATGAGATCTGCAGTCACTTAGTTCTGCATGCAACTGAGTAGCATGTACCCCAATACATATTAGGAAGCCCACTGTGGCCAACCGTCTAAACCAGGTCTTTAATACATTTTGTCAGGAACATGAGTAATAAATTTTTCTCCATGATTAGTTTTGAACTTAGCAAGGAAAGTAGTACCACGAGATAAGATTATTTTCTTCAAAAAGAAAACATCTTGCAAGCATCAACCTTTCCTATACTCTTAATAAAACTATCTGGTTCAGTTTTGAGATATTGACTAGAAGCATCGTTCCTCAAATTCTTTTTTACTATAAGTCACACTAAGAAACATATTTTACATTGTGACCTAGTATACATACACAGCAATTTTCATAAAGTCATTTTTATTATGTGCATTATCTCTGATAGTCTCTGTTCTATTTCATGTTATAAAAATAATGGTCATGGTCCCTAAATAAATTTCCTGACCTGGTAATAAATCGCAAGTCACAGTTGCAAAATGCTAGACTAAGCCACATGCAGAAAACTGAAACTGGACCACTTCCTTACACCTTATACAAAAATTAACTCAAGATGGATTAAAGACTTAAATGTAAAACCCAAAACCATAAAACACCTAGAATAAAACCTACGCAATACCATCCAGACCATAGACATGGTTAGAGACTTCATGATGAAAATCCCAAAAGCAACTGCAACAAAAGCCAAAATTGATAAATGGGATCTAACTAAAGAGCTTCTGCACAGCAAAAGAAGCTATTATCAAAGTGAACAGGCAACCTACAGAATGGGAAAAAATTTTTGCACTCTGCCCATCTGTCAAAGATCTAATATCCAGAATCTACAAAGAACTTAAACAAATGTACAAGAAAAAAACAACCCCATCAAAAAGTGGGCAAAGCATATGAACAGACGCTTCTCTAATGAAGACATTTATGCGGCTAACAAACATATGAAAAAAAGCTCAACATCACTGATCATTAAAGAAATGCAAATCAAAACCATAATGAGATACCATCCCATACCAGTCAGAATAGCAATCATTAAGAAGTCAAGAAATAATAGATGCTGTCTAGGCTGTGGAGAAATAGAAATGCTTTTACACTGTCGGTGGGAATGTAAATTAGTTCAACCATTGTGGAAGACAGTGTGGCGATTCCTCAAGGATCTAGAATCAGAAATACAATTTGACCAAGCAATCCCATTACTGGGTATACACCTAAAGGTATATAAATTATTCTACTATAAAGACACATGCACATGAACATTTATTGCAGCACTACTTATAATAGGAAAGACTTGGAACCAACCCAAATGCCCCTCAATGATAGACTGGATAAAGAAAATGTGGTACATATACACCATGGAATACTATGCAACCATTAAAAGGAATGAGATCATGTCTTTTGCAGGGACATGGATGAAGCTGAAAACCAGAAATATATTTTTAATAATTAATTAACACAGGAACAGAAAACCAAACACTGCATGTTCCCACTCGTAAGTGGAAGTTGAACAATGAGAACACATGGACACAGGGAGGGGAACAACACACACCAGGGCGAGTCACAGGGTGGAGGCAGAGAGGAGGGAAAACATTAGGACAAATAGCTAACGCATGCAGGGCTTAAAACCTAAATGACAGGTTGATAGGTGCAGCAAACCACCATGGCACACATATACCTGTGTAACAAACCTACACATTCTGCACTTGTTCCCAGAATTTACAGTAAAATAAAAAATAAAAATAAAGAAAAATGCTAGACTACAGTATAATATGTCCAGGTACTAGGAAAGAACAGACTTTGAAAACAACTTCTAGACAGAGGTGTTACATAAGAGAAAATGTCATTTTTATTTTCTTCAAACATCTGTAATGAGTTGTTTTGCTTCCCAAGAGAGCAAACACTGTATGAACCTCAGATGTGAGGCTTCTTAGGAAGCTGATGACAATTCTGAATTTTGTATGTTATTTGTCTGCTGGGTTCATGAAATATCCAGAACATTGTCATTTGCTCCTGGTCACATGTCAAATATTGCTTAAGAGTTGCAGATCAGGGGGTGTTCCAAGATGGCTGAATAGGAGCAGCTCCGGTCTGCAGCTCCCAGCATGACTGATGTGGAAGACGGGTGATTTCTGCATTTCCAACTGAGGTACCTGGTTGGACAGTGGGTGCAGTCCATGGAGGGCGAGCTGAAACAGGGTGGGGCATCGTCTTACCTGGGAAGTGCAAGGGGTTGGGGGATTTCCCTTTCCTAGCCAGGGAAGTGCTGACAGACTACATGGAAAAACGAGAAACTCCCCGCCCAAATACTGAGCTTTTCCCAAGGTCTTAGCAACTGGCAGACAAGATGATTCTCTCCTGTGCCCGGCTTAGCAGGTCCCACAACCACAGAGCCTTACTCACTGCTAGTGCAGCAGTCTGAGATCAATTTGCGAGGTGGCAGCCTGGCTGGGGGAGGGGCATCTGCCATTGCTGAGACTTGAGTAGGTAAACAAAGTGGCCGGGAAGCTTGAACTGGGAGGAGCCCACCGCAGCTCAGCATAGGCCTCTATAGACTCCATCTCTGTGAGCAGGGCATAGCTGAAAAAAAGGCAGCAGACAGCTTCTGTGGACTTAATCAACCTTGTCTGACAGCTCTGAAGAGAGCATTGATTCTCCCAGCACAGTGGTTGAGCTCTGAGAACAGACAGATTGCCATCTCAAGTGGGTCCCTGACCCCCATGTAGCCTAACTGGGAGACACCTTCCAGTAGGGGCCGAATGACACCTCATATAGGCAGCTGCCTCTCTGGGACGAAGCTACCAGAGGAAGGATCAGGCAGCAATATTTGCTGTTCTGCAGCCTCCACTGGTGATACCCAGGCAAACAAGGTCTGGAGTGGACCTCCAGCAAACTCCAAAAACCTGCAGCTGAGGGGCCTGACTGTTAGAAGGAAAACTAACAATCAGAAAGGAATAGCATCAACATCAACAAAAAGGTCATCTACACCAAAACCCTATCTGTAGGTCACCAACATCAAAGAACAAAGGTAGATAAAACCACAAAGATGGGGAGAAACCAGAGCAGAAAAGCTGGAAATTCTAAAAATCAGAGTACTTCTTCTCCTTCAAAGGATAGCAGCTCCTCACCAGCAACAGAACAAAGCTGGATGGCGAATGACTTTGATGAGTTGACAGAAGTAGGCTTCAGAAGGTCAGTAATAACAAACTTCTCCAAGCCAAAGGAGGATGTTTGACCCCTTGTCAAGGAAGGTAAAAACCTTGAAAAAAGACTGGACGAATGGCTAAGTAGAATAAACAGCACAGAGAAGACCACAAATGACCTGATGGAGCAGAAAACCATGGCATGAGAACATTTTGATGCATGCACAAGCTTCAATAGCCTATTTGATTAAGTGGAAGAAAGGGTATCAGTGATTGAAAATCAAATTAATGAAATAAATTGAGCAGACAAGGTTAGAGAAAAAAGAGTAAAAAGAAACAAACAAAGCCTCCAAGAAATATGGGACTATTGAAAAGACCAAATCTACGTCTGATTGGTGTACCTGAAAGTGATGGGGAGAATGGAACTAAGTTGGAAAACACTCTTCAGGGTATTATCCAGGAGAACTTCCACAATCTAGAAAGATGGGCCAACATTCAAATTCAGGAAATACGTAGAACACCACGAAGATACTCCTCAAGAAGAGTATCCCCAAGACATATAATTGTAAGATTCACCAAGGTTGAAATGAAGGAAAAAATATCAAGGGCAGCCAGAGAGAAATGCTGAGTTACCCACAAAGGGAAGTCCATCAGACTAACAGCAGATCTCTCAGCAGAAACCCTACAAGCCAGAAGAGAGTGGGGGCCAATATTCAACATTCATAAAGAAAATAATTTTCAACCCAGAATTTCATCTCCAGCCAAACTAAGCTTGATAAGTGAAGGAGAAATAAAATCCTTAACAGACAAACAAATGCTGAGAGATTTTGTCACCACCCGGCCTGCCGTACAAGAGCTCCTGAAGGAAGCACTAAACATGGAAAGAAACAACCAGTCCAGCCACTGCAAAAACATGCCAAATTATAAAGACCATTGATGCTAAGAAGAAACTGCATCAATTAATGGGCAAAATAACCAGCGAACATCATAATGACAGGATCAAATTCGCACATAACAATATTAGTCTTAAATGTGAATGGGCTAAATGCTCATTAAAAGATACAGACTGGAAAATTGAATAAAGAGTCAAGACCCATCAGTTTGCTGTATTCAGGAGACCCATCTCACATGCAGAGACACACACACACTCAAAATAAGGGGATGGAGGAAGATCTACCAAGCAAATGGAGAACAAAAAAAAGCAGGGTTTGCAATCCTAGTCTCTGATAAAACAGACTTTAAACCAACAAAAATCAAAATAGACAAAGAAGGCCATTACATAATTGTAAAGGGATCAATTCAACAAGAAGAACTAACTATCCTAAATATATATGCACCCAATACAGGAGCACCCAGATTCATAAAGCAAGGCCTTAGAGACCTACAAAGAGACTTAGACTCCCACACAATAATAATGGGAGACTTTAACACCCCACTGTCAATATTAGACAGATCAACAAGACAGAAGGTTAACAAGGATATCCAGGACCTGAACTCAGCTCCACAACAAGCAGACTTAATAGACATCTAAAGAACTGTCCACCGCAAATCAACAGAATATACATTCTTCTCAGCACCACATCACACTTATTCTAAAATTGATCACATAATTGGAAGTAAAGCACCCCTCAGCAAATGTAAAAGAATAGAAATCACAACAAGCTGTCTCTCAGACCACAGTGCAATCAAATTAGAACTCAGGATTAAGAAACTCACTCAAAACTGCACAACTACAAGGAAACTGAACAACCTGCTCCTGAATGACTACTGGGTAAATAATGAAATGAAGGCAGAAATAAAGATGATCTTTGAAACTAATGAGAACAAATACACAACATACCAGAATCTCTGGGACACATTTGAAGCAGTGTGTAGAGGGAAATTTATGGCACTAAATGCCCACAAGAAAAAGCAGGAAAGATCTAAAATCGACATGCTAACATCACAATTAAAAGAACTAGAGCAGCAAGAGCAAACAAATTCAACAGCTAGCAGAAGGCAAGAAATAACTAAGATAAGAGCAGAACTAAAAGAGATGGAGACACACACAAAAAAAACCTTCAAAAAATCAATGAATCCAGGAACTGCTTTTTGAAAAGATCAACAAAATTGATAGACCAC